GTGTTGGGATGAAACATGACAAATTAAGGGGCTCAAGATCCAGTCGTTTCAAGGCCTTTTTCTGGAGACATCCCATTTGCTGCTCAAGCATGCGCTTGGCTTGCATTTGTCGTGGAGGGTTTGCCTCCAAGGTGTTCTTTGTCATCTACTTAGCCGAGTTTCTTGTGAAGAACATATGGTGGGGAACTCCCGTTTACTTCAGCAGCTCGGCTGCAGCCTGCCGCTTGCACCTGGGAGCACGTTCTATTGTTGGGGCAAACCCCCAGACTGCGCAGCACCCGCCTGTGACAGGCGGGCCCGATCGAAATTGGAATTGGTTCGACTTTGCGTGCCTCATCATATCAGCAGTGGCGACTTGGTTGCGAGTGCGTTCGTTGACGCAGCCTTTCTCGGACGACTTCTGAGCATGATCCAGACGTCCCGGGCGGGTGCTTTGCGCGCTTCCTAGGAATTGCTGGTGAAGGTCTTTTCCGGGGAGCAACAACGGGGTCAGAGCCAGCTCAACTTGCTGAAGGCTGGGGTGGGGGGGCGGCGCAGAGGCTCCGTTCTCGGAGGTTCTTTGGTCTTGTTGCTTTTTTTCCTCGCAGCATGCCCGGCAAGCCTCTGAAGCGATCCTGAACCGGTTGCCCGTTTCCATGCGAGCTCGGAGCATGTGCTTGAAACGTCCCTTGCTTGCTTCCACAGGTTCTACTGCCCGCAATCACACTCCAGGTTACGAAGAAGGTTGCTTTGGCTGCCTCCTTCGTTCCAGTTGCCAACTATGCTGTGCCAACTGTGCCAATTGTACTCTTTTGCTATTGGGTTGGATCTCAAGACTTTAACTTTTTGCTGGGGGATCTACAGCACCCAAGTGGAGCCATTGGATGTTGCGTCTTGGCACCTCGCGGGTTGCCCCTTGTTTCTTCAAACCGGGCCGGCCGACCTTCACGAGCTTGCACGCCCAAGAAGCGTTGGGCTTTGTGAGGCAAATCGCGCCTTGCAGATCTACTGGCGCATCATGTTGGATGGGGCTGTGACAGTCTGTTTCTGGTTGGTTGTCTCCGTTGAACCTACCACGTGGGGTGACTTGGAGGGTGGGTGCGTTTTGCAGCACAGGTGCTGCGACTTGCCCGACTTTTCCGCCTCGTGCGCATCATGCGATTCAAAATGTTCAAGGACGGGCACAACTTGCACTGCCTCGTTCACAACCGCCCCCCCAGCCTTTCGGTTTTCTCTGGTTTGACCTTTTTGGTCACAGCCCCGAAAATGTCTTGACAAGTGCGTGCAGGGCAACCTGTATTTGCCCATGAGCAGGTCTTTTTTTTCTTCACGGTCAGCCTTCTGGTATTGGGGCGCCTGTTTTTCCAACCCCCCCCCCCCCCAACCGGTTCTTTTCGACCTCTTGGCGGCCCGGGGGGCGCACATGGCGTTCGGCGACCCACGCCCCGGACGTCCCACGTGGCTTGGCATCTGGCCTCAGGAGCTGAAGCTGATGGCCATGGGCCTACTCTCGGGGATCCGCGCGCTGATCTGGGCCATCGTCTTGCTCATGGCTCCTTGGAGCGAGGGACCCGTGGATAGTTTTTTAGCCCTCAAAAAATGTTGGTTTGTGGTGGGGTTGGTTGGGTCGAATCTGAACAGGGGAATGCCCCCGGCTTCCTTTCAAGGCTGCGTTGGATGCGAAAGGGAGAGACATGTTGCGCCGCGGGAGCTGCAAGGTGGTGATCTATACCATCAGCATCATCACCAAGTCCTTCTTCGGAGACACCCATATTGAATTCAGCACAGTTGGCGTGGCCACCTGAGCTGCCAGCAGGGCCTCAGTTGTGCTGGGGAGCCGACGTGCCTGCATCACCTAGGCGGGAATGTTCACCCTCTTCCGATGCTTCACTGAAGCATGTGAGACCTATGAAGGAAATCCAATACCGGAGCTGCTCTATGTGCAGTCGGAGCGTCCTGGCCAAGAGGGTGAGGGTGGTTGCCCTTGGCCCCCGGTTTCGCTTGGAGTTGAGGCTCCTCATGTCATGTGTGCACCACGTCTCGTTCATGTGTGTGTGTGTGCGCGTGTCGGCTGGCCTGTCAGTCAACGCAGACCTGAGGCATAGGTGGTTGTTCCAGCTCGGCTATGTCCTCGTCACCATGCTTGTCACTGTAGGCGGGGCAGTTTTGTGCTCTAAAAGTAGGAGCATCCTTTGCTTTTATTCCACAAGTGCCTTGAGAAAACAGCTGACCACCATCTCATGCAACACCAAGGCCTTTTCAACCTTATCATGGCCCTTGGCTCAGCATGTGTGCGAGCGAGCGAACGATAGTGCGCTCTTGTGCGCATGCGTGCCTGCGTGCTTGCGTGCGTGCGTGCTTGCGTGCTTGCGTGCTTGCGTGCTTTCGTGCTTGCGTGCTTGCGTGCTTGTGTGTGTGTGTGTATGTTCGCGCGCGTGTGAGTTCCTCAGAGGTTTAACTGAAGTGTCAACTGAGGCTGTTTTCATCGACAACGTGACCAAGTCCCAGATTCTCAGCTTAAACAGCGCTGCATAGGTGAGTTTCACACATGGGACGTGGCGGAGTGCCTACGCCCCGTTTCAGCGATGCAAGTGGATGGGCTGACGCATTCACCGCCAAGGAACCAGCGAAAGCAGAAAGAGCTCGGCGCGCAGCCCAGCGTTTCAGCCAGCTCAGCTAGGAGCACAAATGCCCCCTGTGCAAAGCGGGGCCTTTCGTCGGCCATAGTATGGGTCAAGAATTCGGGTGACCCCCAAAGGGAACACCGGCAACTGGAAATGAGGAACGCATGGTAGAAGTCTTCTCGCATAGCTGATGGGATCCGAAATGATTTCCGCACTTCCGTTCGGATCTGACTCAGGCGAGTCGGCCATCGAGACCGAAGTGAAGCTCAAGATGCTCCTGGCAAGGCACCGCTCGGTGAGCCACGACAAAGGCGGTGTTTTTTTTGCGGGGGCAAAGGGCAGCTTTTGGAACCTTCGGCGGTTTGGTGACGCGTAAGGCGGGAAAACATGTGGATCAACTGAAACCTCAACAACTGGGCACCAGCAGAATTTGCCCAATGGATGTCGGGTTTGGAGGGTTCCCCTTTCTGGAAAGGTTTGCCTAAGGGCCGCTTGCCAATCTTGACCGCAGGTTCATCAACGAGCCTGCGGGCGACAAGCCAGCTTTGGCGATGATGGACCGCTACATGGCTCGGAAGTGCCAAGCAAGCTCCTAAAAGAAAGTCAAACCAATCTGGTTGGGGTCCGCCACGGAAAATTTGTTGTCGCTTCATTTTTCGAGCACACATACAGGCGTCTCGATCACTTTGCTTCTTGCACGTTTACAGCTGTCCACATTTCTGCCCATAGGCAGAAAACAAAGCCCTAACATTTTTGGAACGATGCAAACCACCGGGCATTCGCTGGCCTTTGCATCGCAAGGTTTCTCGGAGGATGTCACCAGCAAGCTAACCAACTTGACCGACATTGCGAAGAAGCGGCATCAGCTGGAGCAGAGAGTTTGCGCAGATGAAGCGTTTCTCAGCCAAACTGAGGCAACAATCCCATTGGCATCCTGAGTTTGCTAACTGCTTGCCCTGATGAAAAGCAGCATTCTCCCTTTCGACCCTTTGGTTTTGGGGTCGCCAGGCACCATGGAACCAGGAGTCATGCCACGGGAAGATTCCCGGAACGCTTCCAAGAACCACCTGTAAGAGGCTTCCAAAATCCTTTACTTCGGGGTGGGCACCTTTGGGCTCCCTGTAGGCCTTGTACTAGGATGCAGTAGACTGGTTTCGCAGGGCTGTCATTGCCTCACGGGAGGTTAACAACCAGGTCGTTTGAGTGCCCGTGAGTTCCCTTGCGCTGAGGTTCAAGCTGCTGAAGGACTCTTGGCATCGGCCGGTTCGGAAGCTCTTTGTTTTTGAACGCAGCATCTGGCGGGAGCATCAAGCGAGCGGCCGAGGAGTGCAACATCAACATCACCCGGGGAGTCTTTCAAGCTTGGCTTCAAGATGCCGAGTTTGTGCGGGTACTCGAGGAGGCGGATGCCGCCCGGTACGACAGGATACGACAGGCCGACTCGTCTCTGTGGCTGTGCAGTTGTGCACGTCTCTTCTCTCGGCTCGAGCCATCATGTGGGGTGTGGGTCAAAATTTAACCACCAGGATATGGAGCACAGGTTTTAGTCCCTGGTTCCATTTACCAGGGTTCCGTTTTGGGTACCCATTTTTGACCCACAGCCATGGACGCGCGCGCTCCATCACAAGCCGAGGTTGACATTTCGAACAAGTTTGAGTTGTTCAATATCCTCGACGTGGATTTGGGAGGCTGCTACCTTAAAGTGCATTTGCCCACAGCGCATGCCCAGCAGCCAGCACGTGCTGCAAGACAGAGCCACGTGTGGGGTCCAAGGTGAGCTCTCCCCTCATGAGTTGCTGACCGGGCTCTTGAGCCTGCGTGGCGAGGTGTCAAAGGGATGCTCGGCTTATGTTTTGTCCTCCCTCCTCACCACGATCAACAACGAAACGGAAATTGGAGCCTGCCTAAGTCCCTAAGGAATCCTTCTTGGGCTCACTCGTCCCAAAATGTGCAGGCACTTGCAAATAATCAGATGAGAGGAGCATTTTGGTGCTGCAAAGGGGCCCTCTTGTTTGGGAGAAATAATTTGTCGAGCTGCTGCCGCCCTGCAGAGTACACGCACTTTCCAAAAATGATTTGCTGGATTCGCCAACGTGCTCGAGGAATTCGGGCAGAATTGCAAGCCTGAGCTTAAAGGGTTTGATGATTATTATTATTAGTAGTAGTATTATTATTATTATTATCTTGGCATGTTGCAGTTGCGTTGCGTTGCATGTACTGCAGGCGATGTGATCTACATCCTCCTGCGTGTTCGTGACATGACTCACCGCCTGGACCAATTGCAGCAAGGTCTGCAGTCACTTGGCAGAGGTGGCTCACCAGGCTGGTAGGCGCTTTCCTCGGGCTGTTAGGGACCCGGCTAGGCGGGTTGCCTGAAACTGTTGCCGGTTTGCTGCGGAAGTGCGGTTGAGAGAAACACTCGCCTTCCATGGCAAAAAAAAGAAGCACTGGGTGGCCAGTGCGGCTGCTGATGTCAGCCTTGTTTGGCTGCAGCTAATAATGTCTTGCAGCAGACTTTGCTGAAGTCTCTACAAACTTTAATCCGAGACTTGCGTCGAATATGCGATCCTTCGCAGCTGAAAGGACTGCAATGGCTGTCAGACTTCAAGCATCAGCGCCCGGTAGTGGCAGATTTGTTGGAAGCTGGAAGTGTTTTTTTTCATTTGTTGCTGAAGCAAGCTTGGTGCTTGCACAGACGGGCTTTGCACTCAACCTTCCGACAGGAAAGTTGCCTTGCAGTTTGTCTCACTGCCAGAAGAAAGCTACATTCTGTCTTGAGGCGCTGTGGGTATGCCCACATGGGCAATTTGCTTGCGCAAGGGCCATAGGCCTTCAATGAACGCCCAACGCCCCACCTCCATTTAATGGACTGCCATGGAGGTGAGGCTGCTGAGATGTTTGAATGACACTTCAAGCATGCTCATGGAATCAACTTTGTCCAACAAGCTCCCCTGTGAAGCAGGCTTGGGGCAGAAGTGTGATAACAGTGCTGAACACATCCGAAAACAGAGACAGAGAGAGAGAGAGAGGTGTGCCGATTATGTGCCGAGCAAGAGAGAGGGAACAGAGTCGATTCCCAACAAGGCTTAAGACAGGGGAGATGATCATCTCGTGCCTTGGACTTGCTTGCGCACGTCGCACCTCCCAATGTTTCGGCTCGAGTCTTTTTTTAGGACGGCATTTTGCCCGAGGCCCAAGCAATGTCTCGGATCATCGCATGCGCGGCACTAGCCTTTAGCTTCGCCTCAGTTGCCGAAGCTGGCGCACTGCGCGGTCGCCAACTGCAACGGGACTCGATGGAGACGATGACTCCTCAGTGCAAGCCAGGCTATGTGGACATCACAGGGGGCCAGGCCTACCACTGGTCCTGCGGCTTTTATTGCGAGGGCGGGCAATACTTCAGCACTGCCAACTGCATTTGTGCATGCCAAACACCAGAGGTGGCAGAAAAGCTGCAAGATGCTGTTCCAGCACCCTTGGAGACTCAGGCTCCGATGCCCCTTCAGCCGGGAGGGATCATTGTGACAGCACCTCCGAGCCCTACTGCTGCCCCGTCCGTGCCGGTCCACGAGATTCCAGTGGGCGAGCTTGGCGACACGAATTGGAATCCTCCTCCAACCCTCGGACTGGACTACATGGGCGGTGTCCAGACTCCAGCTCCGCAACCAGCAGCAACCAATACTCAAGAGAGCATGGACTGGACGGTTGTTTTGTCGGCGATCGGTGCTGCCTTGGTGGTCATAGTTTGTGGGGTAGTTCTTTGTATTAACTGGCCTGGCGACTGCCTGAAGCGCAAGCGAACAACAACTCCCTTCAAGTTTGCAGAGACACCCGCAGTGACCATGCACGTGCCAAGCCATGCGTGTCCGCAGCCCTTTGAGGTGCCCTCCCGCAGATCCAGCCAGGAGTCTGCTTCAAGGGCCTTGAAGCCAGGAATCTCCAAGCAATCCGCGAACTCTTGGTGCTCCTCAGCTTCTGGCAGGCACCTAAAACCGTCCCGCCAGAGCAATGCAAGCAATGCGAGCGTCCATTTGTCCCTTCCAGCCAGCAAGAACTCATCCACAAGCGCCAGCAGTCGCGGAAGCATTTGCAGCACCAGCGGTGTTGAGGGTGAACCACAGTGGGCCTTCAAGTGTCCACAGGACCACCTGCCCGCAAAATTCCAGACACGGGCAGGCGGCAGTGGACGCAAGATCGCGAAGGTGCATCCTGCGCGATTCGTGGTCCAAGATGCATGATATGTTTTGCTTTTTGTTCAGAACGAGCCAAGGCTGAAGCGAGCTTGATGCTTTTTGCAGAGCTTTTCGCCACGGCCGTCCTCCAAGTTTTGTTTTGGTTGGTTCCGAAGAGGTGATTGCAGCACTCGTTAAACTCTGTGCTCCGCTTCGTTCGGTTCCAGCTGATTGAGCGAACTTTCTTCGTAGACTTTCCGCCGATTCCATGTGAAACTCTTCAATTCTGAAACGCTGAATTGCTATTGTTTTTAGTCAATGACAGCCTTGTTGTACTTCTTGGAACAGGTCAAAGAAAGAGTTTCATGTAGACCGACAGTTTTGGGCTGCACATGCAGTTGGATACATTCTTGCTTTCAAAGGCGCAAGAGATGGATTCAGTTTGGCTTTCGGGTGGCATGGCTTGTTTCCGTGCCGAAGGCAACGTCCTTCAGAACAGCCGCTGACTCTGTGAAGGCGACTGGAGACCAACTCCATGTTGCCAATGCCTTCTTGCAACGACTCGCCAGAGTAGCCTCGATTGCGATGGCTGCATCGGCGGTAAAGTCTTTGCGCATGAAAATGTATTTGTTCAGAATGTATATATGTATATATGCATGAATATTATTTTGAATTTATAAAATATGATTGAACTTTAGATTTAACTTAAATTGAATGGAGGCAAAGGTTGGAAGAGAAATTGGTAGTATACATATAAAATTTGAAAAATTATAAAATTAGATTTTTAGAATTATTTGTTTGTATTATTGTATAAATTAATTGTAAATGAATCGAGAAAAAAAACATTTATTATGATTTTTTGTTAAACGAAATATAACAAATAAGTTAGAATGGAATTAAATGTATTTTGATTGGATTGTTGTAGTTGGGATAAATGATGAATTAAAATAATGGATCAATTTAAATGTTAATCTATAATTTATGTTTAATGAATATAAATTTGATTTGATTTTTTTAGAATATTATTATTAGTTTTGAAATAAAAAAAAATGAAATGGTATAAATATAAATTATTTGTTTGATATTAATATGTTTCTAATATATATATATATGTATATTTGAATAATATTACCAGTAGAGCCGGCGAAGCCGGTGGGCGGAAGTTTCAAAAATATAAACACTATAGTTTTGTGTCTCTTTCTTTTCTTGATTTGTTTTGTCTTCTTCTTCCTTTTCACGGTTTCTCTTTGTTCCGTCATTCTGTGTGTCTTTCTGTCTTTCTTTCTTTCTTTCTTTCTTTCTTGTTTTCCTTTGATTATCTCTTTCTTTCTCTCCTTTCTTGCCCGTTTTTTCTTCTTTCTTTTTTTCGTTTTGATAGTTTTTCCGTTCTTTCTGTTATCTCTTCTCTATCTATATATCTATCCGTCCACCTATCTATCTATCTATCTATCTGTCTCTCTCTCTTTGTGTCTATCTATCTCTCTTTGTATCTATCTAATTATCTGTTTATCTACCTTTCTATCAATCTATCTATTTATCTCTCTATCTATTTATCTATCTATCTACCTATCTATCTATCTATCTCTCTCTCTATCTATCTATCTATCTATCTATCTATCTATCTATCTATCTATCTACTATCTATCTATCTATCTATCTATCTATCTATCTAATCTAATCTAATCTAATCTAATCTATCTATCTATCTATCTATCTATCTATCTATCTATCTAATCTATCTAATCTATCTAATCTATCTAATCTATCTAATCTATCTAATCTATCTAATCTATCTAATCTATCTAATCTATCTATCTATCTATCTATCTATCTATCTATCTATCCATCCATCTATCTATCTATCTATCTATCTATCTATCTATCTATCTCTATCTATCTATCTATCTATCTATCTATCTATCTATCTATCTCTCGTGTATCTACCTATCTCTCTATCTCTCTATCTCTCTTTCTATCTATCTATCCATCTCTCTCTCTCCCTCTCTATCCATCTCTCGATCTCTCTTTCTACATATATATCTATCCATCTCTCTCTCCCTCTCTCTATCTATCTCTCGTGTATTTATCTATCTATTTATCTCTCTATCTATCCATCTATTTGTCTATCTACTTATCTATCTTTCTATCTATCTATTTATGGTTTATCTATCTATCTATTTATTTATTTATCTCTTTTTTATCTATCTATCTATCTATCTCTTTATTTATCTATCTCTTTATCTATCTATTTCTCTTTTTATCTATCTATGTGTCTATGTCTCTATGTCTCTATCTCTCTATCTATCTATCTATCGCTCTATCTCTTTTTTTAATATTTCTATCTCTCTATGGTTCTATCTCTCTCTTTTTATCTATTTACCTATCTATATATTTATCTCTCTGTCTATTTATTTATCTATTTATTTATTTCTCTTTCTACCTATATATCTATCCATTTCTCTCTTTCTCCTTCTTTCCATCTATCTCTCATATATCTATCTATCTATCTTTTTATTTCTCTATTTATCTATCTATTTATCTATTTATCCATCTATTTATCTATCTCTTTTTTATCTATCTATTTACCTACCTATTTATAATCTATCTCTTTATCTATCTATCTATTTATCTCTTTCTTTTTTTATCTATCTGCCTATCTATTTATTTTCTATCTATTTTCTATTTAATCTATCTATGTATTTATGTAATTTAATCTATCTATCTATTTATCTCTTTATCTGTACTTAAATTTGCGAAAGTGTTACGCGTGCTACGAAGTCTTTACTTGACCTTTGCGAAAATGTTGTGCTTGCTACGAATTTTGTATTTGACTTTGCGAAAATGCGATACTTGTTACGAAATTTGTACTTGATTTTGCGAAAGTGTTGTACCTGAAACGAATTTTGAAGTTGACCTTACGAAAGTGATACGCTTGCCACGAATTTTGTACTTGACCTTGCGAAAGTGCTGCACCTGCCACGAATTCTGAAGTTGACCTTACGAAAGTGCTGCTTGCCACGAATTCTTGCATTTGACCTTGCGAAAGCGCTGCGCCTGTCACAAAATCTGCACTTGACCGTGCGAAAGTGCTGCGCCTGCCACGAAATATGTGACCTCGAAAGTGCCGCCTGCCACGAAATATTTACTTGAGCTCTGCGCACGATAGATCTACCCTGCTCAGAGCAGCTGCCGCCCCCGCTCGAATGATCCGCATTTAACGCCGAACGACTCGACTTAATAGATATTGCCGTGTTTTAATATCTACGCCAAAGCTAGACTCGCCATAATAGATTCTTACCCGAAAATCCCGTCGAGTATCCTATTAAAAAACGACTCGTTAATAGCTCGCTAGATCGGAGTGCCGCCGAATATTCCGCCAAAGCGGCTCGCTAATAGATTCCGTTAAAACAACTCGGCAATGGATTCCGTCGAATATCCTATTAAAGCAACTCACTAATAGATCCCGCCGAGTAGCCCGCCAATGGATCCCGCCGAAAATCCTGCCAAATTGCTCGCTACTGAATCCCACAGAGTATCTCGTCAAAACGGCTTGTTTTGGAGCTAAGTTCCGCAGAGTATTAAAGCGGCTCGTTCTAACGATTTATCGGTAAATCCCGCCAATTTCCTTTTTCGAAAGGGCTTGGCTTTTGCTATCGGAATCGATGCTTGATTTTTTAAAATCGACTCCTAAATAAATAGTAATAAACAATACAAAGGAAAGAGTCAATTAAAATTTAGAATTAATATCTTTAAATTGTGGAGAACAAAAAATATTATTATAATTATAAATGCATAAATATAAAAAAAGAATTATTTAACATGAATGATTTTTATTATTTTCTCTAAATATTTGATTTTACATATTAATATTTTTGTGTTTTCAATATAATTAAATTTTATTTATTTTTATATATTAATATATATATATAATATATATATATATTTATAATTAAATTATAATATTTATGTCCAATTCGATAAAATATTAACTCGGCCAATATCCCTAACCACACCACATACTCCCAGAATTTGCGTGGAACGCCCCGGGACCCGGTGTTGTTGAGGATGCCGCCTAATAATATTCTAAAGCAAAGCTACGAATGACAGCGCAATCTCGTCCGAATCGGGGCCTAACGGCACAATCGGGGCCTAATCCGGGCCCGACGCCGCAATCGGGGCCCGGGGTGCAATTGGGGCCCGATCGGGGCCCGACAGTGCAATCGGGCCCGATCGGGGCCCAACGGTGCAATCGAGGCCCGCTAGAGCAGCGCTCGGTAATAAACCTCGTCAAACATCCCGAGCGGCTCGTCAATACATCCCGCCAGAACGATTCGCCAATAAATCAATTAGAGTAACTAGCCAATAGATCCCGCCTAATATCTCGCCAGAGTATCCCAGAGTAATTGGCAAATGCATCCCGTCTAGTATCCTGCCAAAGCTACTCGTTCGTGGATCCCGCCGAGTATCTTACATCCCTCCAAGTATTCCGCTAAAAATCCCTTGCCGATAGATCCTGCCGAGCATCGAATCGGAGCGGCTCGCCGATATTATGATATTCGTTAATGGATCCCGTCAATACCCGCTAGAGCAGTTCGCCAATCTAGTTTTGCTTGATATCCCGCCCGGTGCATAATTAGAATTATATTTCATGTTGGTGCCTTCGTGCTTTGAATATATTAAGATTTGGCAATTTCGTTTAATCCCCCTATCGGATATCTTTTTAGAATAGATTTGGCTTTTAACTAAAAATTAAATTCTCGAAATCGATTCGTAAACAAATAGAATTTAACACATAAACAGAGAGATCAAATTCTCAATACAGAATTTATTGACCAACTATAAATCCCAAATCACTCGAAAACCATACTTGCATGCATACAATCGTATTTATAATCTTAAATTTATAAGGGTGAAAAATAAGGATTATTAAAAACGAACTAATATTAAAATTATATATGTTACAAAATATATGTATTTATTGAATTTAATATTTATAATTTACCGTTTATATATATATAATAATAATTAATATATATATATATATTGCCCTCGAGCAAAATAATAATTACAACACAAATGACTCTTATATAGTGCAATTATTCTCATATTAATTTTGTACAATCATTCTCGTAATGACCCATTCAATAACTCTTATGTGCTAACTCTATGCAACAACTATCATAATAGTTCTATTCACTAACTCTAATATAATAATTTTATATAATGACTATCATAATAATTCTATATCAAAATTTTCATAATGATTCTATATAATAATTCTCATAATGATTCTATACAATATCTCTATATAATAACTGTATATCCGTCTATAAATATCATAAATACATCCCCATATCATATGTAATAACGAATTACTTTTTATATCATATCCTCATTCTTTAAACCTAATTCGTTCCGAGCAAAATTTCCGCGGCAAAATTCATATTTAAAATACCTCTGATCATAAACCTCCCAACATTAAACAATAAAAAATCGATATAACATCACAATTTATCCCCATTAATATCATAATATTATCTCACTAATTTTAGAACACCGCTAAATAACAAAAAAAACCTAACCTAATCTATATTTTTAAAACCTAATAAAATTAAAATATCCAATTTCCTTAATATATACCTTTATTTATCACCACCTTTTGATATTAATAGCCTCAATTTATATAATACAATACCTCTCAATCCTATAATATTCTAAAAACTCTTAAACATATATTTTATTTCCTCCAAATTAAAAAGAGAGAATCGGCCCCAGTAAAGCAAAACATTAATTTAACAAAATCAATATAATACTAGTGGGGGCCCGCTGCTTTCCAGCAACGTGCGAGATGAAGCCCATGGCAAGATCATATAGAAATAAGCAGACCGAGTAAATATTTAACAAAGAACAATTCCGAGAAAATAAATAATTATGATTTTGAGCCTTACCTTAAACCCTGCCCAAATAAAAACGAATTATAAATAGAATTTCTCAACAACACCTCAATATACTTCCTAAAGCACTACGATGCACAAAGCAACAATGTGTCTCAGGTTCCCAATACCATTATACAAATATGTATCAATGAAAATCGATCATCAAAAAACAAAAAATAGACCCATAAATTATTAACCTCAAAAAATCCATTCCCACATACAATTATTGCAACACATACCGAAAACACCATCCACCAAAATATATCCTAAATACCAAAGAAAAATACCACTAATCATAATAATAAATTCTTATATCGCCAAACTCTCGCAAAACGGGCACAATAGTACAACCAATATAAAAAAATAATAATTCTTCAAATCTCCGAAAAAATATCCTTTATAAATATTCGTTCCATAACAAATCATACCAATGCGGATTCGATCAACCTAAACGATTATATATTCGAATTTTTTTAGCTAATTCGAAATCGACCAGCTTCACCATTTCATCATTAATCAAATATTAAGTTCGAATACAAAAATAATATAAACCATTCCATTTCATTTTATTTAAACCAAATAAAAACAATACAAAATATCAAATAATATAAAACAATATATTTAAAAAATAAAACAACATATTTTAAAATCAAAATCCATTTCACTATCCTAAATTATATAAATTCAAAAAAATAATTTATGTAATATCAATTAAATTTCATAAATTCATAAATATTAATTTATATAATATCAATTTCCAAATCAACAGGCAAACAAGAAACGAACAACCAAACAAAAAGACAGAGACAAAAACACAAAGAAAGACAAAAACAGAGACAAAAACAAGAGACAAAGACAAACACAAAGACAGACACACACAGACACAGAGACCACGCAGACACAGACAGACAGACAGACACAGACAGACAGACAGACAGACACAGACAGACAGACAGACACAGACAGACAGACAGACAGACACAGACAGACACAGACACAGACACAGACACAGACACAGACGGACACAGACAGACAGACACAGACAGACGGACACAGACAGACAGACAAACACAGACAGACACAGACAGACAGACAGACAGACAGACAAAGAAACTGATACCAGAGACCAACAGACAAAGAGAGACAGAGAAAGACACCGACAGAGAGACAGAGACAAAAAGAGACACACCTCCGGCGCGCAGCGCGCCGGATTCTGATGTCGACATGCCACAGGCTTCGCCTGCGCACGTGCACGCGTCCGACTCCGAGCCCGAGAGCCGCGATGCAGACGGGCTGCAAGAACGCGCGCGCGAGCTCTCGGCTGCGCGTGCCCCAGTTGCACGCGGCCGCTGGCCGCTTGTCCCCTGGCGCCCTCGCCCAGTGGAGCGAGCCAGTGGGAAACGGTTTGTCACGCGCTTGTCTCGGCGCTGCCCCGCCGCTCTCCTTGCCCTCCACGACGGCTGTATTCTGGCCCGCGGCCAGGAGGTGGTTGCAAGTTTTCGGCGGCCCTCTTTGGACTGGGCACCCCGGGTTGCTACCGGCCCGGTGGATTGGTAGTTTGGATCGGTGTTTTGGAGGTTAGGGGGTGGCTTCCCATTCAACTTCAACATGGTCCAGGGGTTCAATCCCCAAACCACCAATCCAGACCAGCAAATTAGGGGTAAGTTGAGGCGGGTGCCAAGAAAGGGCCGAGCTCTCAGGGGCCAAGGTCCAGGCCGTGGTGGGTGTGCCAAGAACAGAGCAAATCTTATAGAGCCCGCGCCGGCAAGACATTTTATGCAACTCAGGCACCAACATATATTTTATCATCTCATATGTATCAAAAAATGTATGCTCGTCGCATGCGAAAAGCATGCTGCCGTTCTCCAAACACAGGTCGCGAGACGCACTGAGGGCCGGGCTGGTCGCGATAAGGTCACGCCAAAAGAGTCAGTGAAAGGCGGTCGCATGAGCAGGTGAGAACGGATCCGCGGGCTGTTGGCCTCAAAAGATCCATCCACACACGCAGTTGTTGCAAGCGCGATCGGCCAGAAAACATCCTGGGTGCAAGCAAAGCCAAACTGATTTCGCCCAAAGCATTGGGAAAAACACCACTGGTCGCAACAACTGGCCGCGGCTCACAGCTTCTCGCATCGCCAAACTCTCGGAAGATGGGCCAAGATTTCAGCCAAAGTTGCTACGGACAGGCAGATATATGCCCCGACTCCTTATCTGGAAGACACAACGGCTTCGTTCAAAGCCCGGACCATTTTTCCGAAATATCTCGGATATTTCGATAATTGCACTCCAGACTATTTTTCCGAAAGATTCTGGATATTTCGACGACAGCATTTCCCGAAATATTTGGAATATTTCGGGAAAACGGTTCCCGAAATATTCGGAATATTTAGAGAAAATGGTGGGTAACTGCGATTTTCCCGAAATATCTGGAATATTTCGGGAAATTGGTCCCTACAAGAAATGAAGCCACTGCATCTTCCGGATTATGGCCGGGGTAGCCCAGACAGATTTGGGTAAGCGGTCCGTAGGAAATATGAAGCGGTTGCATCTTCCAGGGGCAGCCCGGACCAATTTTCCGAAATATCCGGGATTTTTCGGAAAAGCGGTCCGGGAAAACGCGCGCAAATGCGACGAGCAAGTTTCACGGTTTCGTTTTATAGAGTAAACATATAATTATTTTTCTTTTTATTATAATTAATAATTGTACGAATTATTTTTTAAATAACTATAAATCAACACCAAAAATATAAAGAATTAATAATTATTAGTCGATACAAATATATAGTTAACTATATAATTTCTATTTTTGGCCGAGTATAATACAAGATTTTTGAGATAGGATTAAATGGTGTTTGGGCGAAATTATGGAGATTTGGAAAATGTTGGTTGAAAAAAACAGTAGACATTTAAAATAAGAGTGGTTTGCTTGTTCGGCTTGTCCGGCTAGTCCTTTGACTAATTGTGCTGTTCAAGCACCTCCTGCAGCCTTGTCCCAAGCCTGCTTTGCCTCATTGTATCCTCGTCGAATTCTTTCGTAGCGCTTAGTCGAGGAGTTCTGGGCCAAAGCTTCAATTTCCTTCGCGCCTTTGCGGCCGCATCGCCGATGCTGAGGCTGTTGATCATGGTCACGGTGGAGTGCTGTTTCAAGGAAAAACAATCTTGGGCACGGAGGCTCAGCGCCAAGGTGGTTGCCAAAATTGAGGTGGGTGGGCACAGGCCTTGCCAAAAATACCACCGTCACCAGCCACTGGCTGGTGACGGTGCTGTTCTGGGCAAGGGCATCGCCCAGCACCTGCGTTTTTGGCACAAGTCCACCTTCGTATCTTCGGGTTGCTTTCACCAGTGCTTTGGCCGCCGGATCGCCTCGCCTACGGCAACTTGCATCCTCACCTTGGTGTACTCAGAGAGGACCTGGGCCAGGTCACCTCCTCTGCTAGGCGGGTTTGCTCCAGCGTCTCAGTGGCTCCGGCGCGCTCATGAAAAGAATCGAGCACTGCGCCCCCAGGACCGCTTCGCAGTTGCTCCAGCGGGTGAACTCTACGTTGGGGCCCACCTGAAACATGTCCGGGGGCATCGGTGCTTTGACTCATTGAACGGATGCCGCTCATCGCCTCGCCCATCAATGCACACGGAGCGGGCATGTCGTCCTTGTCACGGAGGAGTCGAAGAGTTCTTGGCCAAAGCTTCAATTTCCTTCGCACCTTTGCGGCCGCATCGCCGATGTTGCCCAAATTGAGGCTGGTGGGCGCAGGCCTTGCAAAATTCACCACAGTCACCAGCCAGTGGCTGGCGACTGTGCTGTTCTGGGCAAGGGCATCGCCCAGCGCCTGCGACGCATCGGTTCAGCTGCCAGAAGCCAGAATGTCAAATAAAGGCAAAGCAGAATCGCAGTGCAGCGCGTCATGATGTCGCGGCTGGAACGTGCCCAGCCACCAAAACAACAGGGCTCCTTGTGGCTTCATGACAGGATCGCAGGCGATCGCAGGCAGCAAAGAATAGCCTCTTCGACATGTAAACAAATACCATGCTTATTTTCCATGTTTGTGTGTATGTGTGTGTGTGTGTCAATGTCATGCCCGGCAAGAAAAGGTGCGAGCGTAGACATGTAAATGATGCCCGCGCTCCATGGCAAGTATCAACGCTGGCACTCGGCCGGCACAAAAAAGAACGGCCCACATACAGAAAGAATGACTCCGTACGATTTGAACAGCTTTGGAGCCAAAACCACTCCGAGATGTCATGAACCTCCTTGACGCTACTGACCTTTCAACACCGATACGCCCAATTCGCCGGCAAACCATTGGTAAACGTCTCAGGCCCAAGCCATCCTTTTGAACTTCTGCGAACTTGATTATCGGTTGGCCCGACGCCTATTGGAAAACATTACAGGCACCAAGATCTGAGAATCAAGCAGCTCACGTCACCTCCACATCTCCATGAAGGGTTGCTGCTCCCAGATGCCGAGCCCTCCTGATTTGGCTCGGTTGCCAGGGAGCAGCCCTTGCAAGCAACGATTTCTGAAAGCACGAGGGCCGTGGCTCTGCCAAGGCAGTCTGTACACTGTAGCACTTGCCCTTTCCTCGCGCAATTCAAAAGTCTAGGCGATGAAGCACGGGCTCACACGCCGAGCCTCATGAACTACAGCCCTGCGCCCCATGCCATTTCAGGCGACAAGCTACCTCACTTCCGTGCCTGCGACTATCATCGGAGTCCCAGCTGGAAGCCTCCAATTCGCTTACCGTACTGGGCGACCTTGGAGTGTCCGCTTCTCGAGTTCCCTCTGACTCGCCGCCCGAACTCCAAAGGCTTTGCTCAATCTGCTTGGCCAATGCTCGCTGCTCCTGCAGCATCTGATCCAAGCTCTCTGTGGTGATTGCCATGTTGCCTTGGCTCGAAGCCGAGCGACGCAAACGGTGACGCCAACCTGCATGCCCCTTCCGAGTGGGGGGCCGTGGTTTGTTGGGTCGAGTGGGGTAAAACCGCAAAGGAGAAGCTCGCAAATTGCAGCCAAAGAGCCAAACACTGCACGCAAGCACACCAAACACTGGCGCTTGTAACTGGCAACTGGTACCGCAGTGCGTGAGACGAAGCTACGTCCTGCTAGCGCTTGCTTGGATTGAAGCAAGACTTGGAACTCGTCCATCTCCTGTGCACGGGCTCCGTTTTGAATCACATGTGCTGAGGCCTTGTACAAAAGGATGGCAGCTATCGGATTCTTGGACCATCCAGCCTTCTGAAAGCTAGCGGGCCCCTTGGTCCGGAAAGGCACCGGGATGTATCGATACAGCACAATGTTTGTCACCGGCTGAGTGATGAGCTCAAAGCCTTGTCGGCCAGCAGGCGAGCGGCAATCAAGTGGAGAAAGGGCACCGAAAACTACCCTCCTGTCCACTAACATGGAACCCACCAGAAGGTCCCTTCTAAAGGAAAATGGTCTTCAGGCAGGTTCCATGTTAGCGGACAGGAGGGTAACTCAGAACAATTTGAACATAAGGAATCCTGAGCCCAGGCACAAGGAGATGTTGCCAGGCTCTGCGCGAAATGGCTTGCCAGTGCGCAGCCGTGGTTTACCCTGGCTGCCAGGCCGGAGCGACCCAAGCACCGGAGGTTCATGTGGAGGTAGATGGCCATGGCCGGGCGCGAGCCTCAGGGAACATCCCAAAAAGGGGTGGGGTCGCAATTGAAACCAAGGCAGAACCGAATTTCCAGTTTTGTCAACCCCATCTGGGTGAATTACAATATTTCACCAACCTGAAATAAATTCGGTCGTGAGAGGTCCTTATAGTTCACCCAAATGGCTTTTGGGAGGGGATGGCACACCCACCAAGCGACATGGAAAGCCACTTGAGCCAGGCCTTCCAAGGTGAAGCGCCCCTGGTCAAAGCTGTCCTCCCGGATGATGTAGCGGGCAGCCTTCTGAATGCGGCCCGGGCAGCTGGGCTCCCTGATGAGCAACGTCCCCAGGCCCAAAGGGGTGAACCTCAGGTCAGCTGAAGATCGGGATTTGGACCCTCCCCCCCAAAAAAAACATACCGCAAAAAAGACACACACACACACACATAGTTGTTTAACTTTGTTCCTGTTGCTTTCCTTCCAACCTAATTTCAGGGTACTACCGGACCCCCTCGGTCAGGTACACCTTCTGGAGGCTGCTTGCAAGAATGAGACCTTCCTGCAGGGGGGTTCCCATGATTTAGCCAAACCATGGTCGGGAATGATACAATTTCATAAGCTCCTATCGCCCAGGTACGGTCGACATGCGCTATGTGCTTATACGACGTCAGGTCCACTTCCAATGCTGAATGGACACGTCCATATATACTGGGAAATATGCACCCCTCGTTTCCGTTCACCGTTCGTTTTTTTGCCTTCATTACGGAACAAAAATCAGCCCTCCAAAGGCTCCAAACTGGCCGTGGGATCATCTATGGGCCTATAAAGCCATGGGTTAGATCCAAAATGGCCATGGCTTCATATTTGCTCATCTGAAGTCAGCTTTGACGTCCTCTTGAAACAAGAGGCAGCAGCTTGTGGCCATCCACCGCCACAGAATCTGCCCGCTCCAGGCCTTCCGTTCGCACACGCCATGCCGTGTGCGAAAAGAGAAATAACATTTCGCTCCCAAGCCAAAAGAATTGTCTTTTATGTATATATATATATATATGTGTTGTTTCTTTCACGTGTGGCCTTTTACTTTTGTCTGTTCAACTTTTGAGGAAACAAACACGCAGAACCTGTTGATGGACACCACAACCAAAAAATCACCCCAAAAACCCGGCGCGCAGGTGGGCGCGCAGCTGGCGCGCCGTGGCTGGCGCGCCTTTCAGCCGATCTCGGTCCGCGAAGGCCAGAGGCCCGCCCCAGGCGGCGTCCACGTGGAAGTGGCACTCGAAGCGCGCCGCGAGCTCCGCCAAGGCGTCCAAGTCGTCTACGGAGCCCGTCTCCGTGGCGCCCGCCACGCCCACGATGGCCAGCACCTCTGAGCCAGCCGGAAGAAAAAGCCTGGAGCCTTTTCTCGGTTGCTTTCTGCTAAAAGTTCAACTTTTAGTGGTTTCATGGAAAACCCGTTAAGGTCCTAACATCCAAGCAAAATGCAACAACGTTTCAGCCCTGTGGGTCCATGCATTTAGCCTTTGCACAAGCTGACAGAGCTTGAAAGAGCCTACCTAAAATCTGAAGAGTTAAAAGGGCGACCGCAGCATTTTATGTGAAACGCACTGGCCCATATTCGCTGATCGGGTGACATGTCGGGCTGTGGGCGGCCAACTTTTGCTAAACCATCGACTCTCCACGAGGCTTCCTGTTTTGTGAGGCGATGGACCACAGCCGTTTCTCCCTGAATTGCTTCTCCCTGAAACCTTGTCCTTCCGAGTCCAAACACGCCCCACTCAGAAACCAGATCCGCAAAAACAGGGCGGCCTTGCCTTTGGCCCAAACCAAAAATTCCTTTATCAACAAGAAGCCGAACAAGTCAAGAAGACGAGAAGCCAAAAGCGATAAAACAAAAAAAACACTTAAAAAGGGGGGGGGGGAAACGAAAAATACCCCTCCAATTCCCTTTGCGTTCTCCCTCCCATCCGCTTCCCTGACTCCCACCAGCTTCCGTCCAGCTGCCTTCTGGTTCCTGGCGCGGCACTCCTCCAGGCTGCTCTCCATGGCGCCCACGTCCACGCGGAAGCCGCCACCGGCTTCCGTGGCCAGCTTCACCAAGCTCTCCGCGCCGAGGCCCAGCAGGCTCACCGCCTCCAAGGCTCGGCCGAGGCTGTCGGCGGTCGGCGAGGCAAAAGTCGGGTGACCCCCAAAATGGGTTGCCCGGGGAAACAAAAAAACATGGGCCAACCCCTGCGTTCCATATCCAAGGTTGATTTTGACCCATGCCATGAGGGCTCTCAACACCATCCAAGGACCTCCAGAAAGGCAAGCCATGGCAAGCCCCCCCCCCTTCCCCGCCAAACGAACGAAGAACACAACATTTTCTCTGAATGATCCTGACCCTCTCCAGCCCTGGAAAATCACAAAGGAAAATGAAAAAAATCCTACTTTCCTGTTGCCATCCTATTGGCCAGACAGGGGAACCCTCCAAAAATTCGGTTTTTGGGACCTTGTCCATCATGGAGGGGGTAAACCTCCTTTTGAGGTAAGGACCCCCCTGTTGATTCTCGCATTCCCACGCGCGCAAGAATGGAACCCGACGCACCTTCGGGCTGGTGTGGCGAACTACTCTTGACAACCACCGCATTCTCCGGAGCAGTCATGCAAATTCTTCCATACCCACAGTGCTGACTTGCACGGCGCTTCGTGTCACACGTCAGTCGGATTTGCATGACCTGTGCCTGCCACTAAATGAATGGTGCGACTCTCTGTTCGGCAATTTAAGTGGTCCCCACCGTGAAACTAGCTGTTCGAAGAAACTCTAAGCTAGCGGAGAACGGTGAAGTTCGCTTGGAAGGTGACCTGCTTCACGCGTTCTGAAGATGCCCGCCCTTGCTGAGACTTGCTGGCAAGCAATTTGTGGTGTCGTGCAGGCTCCGGCGGTTGCTTGAGCTTGGAGTCAACAATGCTGTGGCCTTTTGTATTCCCTGGCCTTGTCTATGGAGTAGTGCACCAGCTCAGACGCCAGTACCACGGCCCCAGATACGCCGCTAGATAGCATGGCAGCAAACATCCCCTTCTGCTCCGCTTCTGGAAAAGCTCGATTCCGCGCCATCCACATGGCCTGCAGGTGGGCGGCCCAACACACATGCCGCGGCCAAGTCTGGCAAGCAACCATCCCGCTCCAAATGTCCTCTGCTTGTGGTTTCACTTGTGGGAGATTAAAACGTATGGCTGCTTAGCAGATGTACGAAACCATCATCCTTACCTACAAGCCTAGTGGCCTAGTGGCGAACGGCCGGAGAAAGGACTCCATCAAAGATCTGGCAAGCCCATTGGTCAAGGGTTACGGGGACGTACCAGTTCCAGGGCCGAAGCCCGTCCGGAATCCCATCTGGCCTGGATATTGGCGGTGGTCCCCCCTGATGTGAGGGTCCCCAAGCAGCTTGTGCGACTCTGCACGTGGCTTTGGTAGAAACTGTCCTCAGGGAGAAAACCCGTGCCCAATGGCCAGTGGCTTCGGTAATTGATTGATGCTTTTTGGCGCTTCATCTGGTGAGTGAAGCAACCACGCTTATTCTAGACGACTTTTTGCATCGATGCACTATGCCCATTGTGAGACCTAATTCCATGCCTGCTCAACACACAATCTCAATCCAGAAACCCCAGTACTTCGATGGGCCTACCGCCAGCTCGCACCTGCAGAATTGGTTCAACACCGCTGCATGGCGAGAGAGACACGCTTCTAGCCCCAAAACGACTTGCATTTCGGGGTTAGGTGTTTTCGGGATTCATGGTTGGGAGAATTAAGGTTCAGGGTTAGGAGGGTTTGCGGCTGCATGGCTGACAGATTGATCAGGTTGGCAGCGACTTGTTCCCCCCTGTCCTCCCTGCAGAAGATCGCCTTGTGCAGCACAGCCACAGCCTCGCGCTCGAGGAAGGTCGTGGCCTTGCCGGTCTCGGCCTCAGGGTCTAAGGAGTCAATGACCTTTTGCCGGTGAGAGGAGAAACGAAAGTGTGCAACCAACATGTCAAAGATCTTGGGGTGGTTGTACATACCCTTTTACAATGAACCCAAAAGGATTGCTGATGCTCCTACCCCTCTCCCCAAAAGGGGTATGTACTTCCACCCTTAGAAAAGAGCGAAGGTGCAACAGCAGCTACCCTGAGGGTATCCACTTGATGGTATGTGGGAGCGCAGTTGCGAATGATCTTCATTTTTCGCGGCGCGCGTCATACGCTGACACGAATGGGTGTCAAAGCAGAGATTCAACCAGAGACTCGCGGCGAACAAAGCGCCTCAGCGCTGAGAGCGGGTGCACCTGGGCGGTGGAGCAGTGCTGATCGGGTGCGCTGGATGCTGGAGGTGGCGGCTTGGGTTGTGGCGGGTGCGCTTGAGCGGGTGTACTTACCATTTGGTAGGCGTGTGTGCGTGCTGAGCGGGGTTTGTGTGTGTGCTTAATTAGCAGTTGGCAGGGCGCTGAGTGGTTGTGTTACGAACGTGCGTTTTCTCTGGGTCGCGGAGGGGGGCGGCGCACCAAAAAGGCAATGCCCAATGGAAGGCAGCGCGGCATGGTGATTTTGTACGCGAACCCACTGGCTACATGATAAAACAAAAGAAATCCAGGGTCTCCTTAGAAAGGAATGCCCATCAGGCTCTTGTCAGGGCATACCTCAGGCTTGGAATTCTTTGCCCATCTCTGCCTTTACCAAGTTGAGGTTGGCAGCCGTGACCAAGCGCGCCATCTCTGGCATGTACTCGGGCAATGTTGTGGCCATGTGCCCCACATAATGAGGTGAGTTCAGCGCCAGCTCCTTTTCCAGCACTTCCTCCCGCAACCACTTCAGGTACTCCTCAAATGTCTCTGATCGCCAGAAAGTAGGAGCGCATGGCACAATCAACAGACACATAATTAAACAACTTGTAGTAAAAGCTTGTAGCGAAGGGGCCGCCGGATCCATTTCTGGCTGGTCTTGCAGGTCGCCTTGGAACACCGCGACTTGCGGGCATCCCAAATGGCCGCAAATGACAGATCATTGTGTGCCAAAACGAGCTCGGGATCCCTCTGAGCAGTCAGTTGTTGTAAGGTAGCTAGCCGTGAAAATCCAAACACTTCCCCCAATGTGTAATTAAAGATGGTCCGACTCGTTTCAGCACAGCCAAAAGATATTCACGGGCAAGACTCTGTTCACAAACCGCTCTGACAGTTGTGCCAGGTCTTGATGTGCCACGCACACCGCGTCTGGCCGGCGCAAATGCTCAACCAGTTCATCGATCTGCTTCTTGATGTCTGATATGTCTGGATTCTCTCCAAACATGGCAAGGCAAGGCAAGGCCTCCTGCAAATGAATTCCCTGCTTTGATCCAGGCGGTCCAAACAGTACGTGCACTTCTTTGCAATCAGTGCTCCGCTCAGCAGTCAGCAAGAAAACCTGTCTTTTTCGCATAAAGCGGGCCTCTCTCTCGGCAGTTTTCTGCCGCCCCGTATCGCTGAACGCCGGCGAGCCAGCGTGCGATTGTGTCCCGAAAGCTCACCGCAGAAGTTCCAGGGTCGTCAGCACCTCGGGGGCTTGCCATCCGGTCCTATGCCCACTGGCAATTGAACTGGGGCAAGGGCCGACCGAGGTACCTGTGAAGGGATCAAGAGTTGCGCGACGCGCCCGCCGGGGGGGGGGGAGGAAGGAGGGAAGTAGTGCCGCTTCCATACATTTGCGTGGAGGGTCCGCCAAACCTGCATGTGCTGTGCATGTGGGCAGGCTCGCTGAATATACCTTTTGCGGCGCAAAATTTCCGGCGCGGCCGATCCAAACGACAGACCCATCGCCTAAGGCACCGAAAGTCAGGGCTGTACTTTTTGCACCCGCAGATGTAGTCCTACACTTGGGGTGTTCATAGACAAATCTGAAGGACATGAAGGACAGCCCCGACTCAAGAAATGTTTTCGGTTTGTTGCCGCAAGGCCCTGGACTCGGCCAGGAGCTCGTGCACACTCATCTCCCGCAGAAAGACCAGTCCACGCGCTGCTCGGATCAGGGGTGATTCGTGATTATGAAACCACTCGTAGCCCAAGCAGGTCTCGATGATGTCGTACTGCTGCACCTCAAGGTTGGGCAAAAGTCGAATCAACCAAACTGTGGACTTCCTTGCAGGGGGAAGCCCCTAGGAGAAATCACGAAAACCAGGGTTCCATCTTTGGACTATCCCGAGAAAGGCTTAAACGCAGGGTAAGCTTCTGCCAAAGAGGAGCCCTTCAATTTCAGAACTTTTTTGGGTTGGTGTACTGCCCCAGTTTGACACTCGGGCATGTCTTCCCCCCCCCACCCCCCTTTGAGGGTGTTGTTTTTTTCCCCCCCGCAAAAGCCACAAGTTGAATCCTCGCATTTTCGGACCCGGTCCCACGAGACACACCCAGATCAGGCCCACCTGCACCCGCTGACTCATGGCGCAGAAGGGGCCCTGGATCTCATAGGCCGGGAACTCCGCGTTCCTTTGGGACTCGAAGGAGTTGAGGAACATGTGGTTCCTCGACTCGCGGTCCGTGGGTGTTTTTGCTTGCTTCATGAAAGCAAGAGAAGGCAACGTGCTTTCATGCACGTGTCTTTCAGGAGCTTCCCAACGAGTCAATTGGAATTGGGCCAACTGCAAGCCGATACTCACCTAATTTGAAACCAATCCGAACAATCCGAAAGAATGTCA